GACTACAGGCATATGCCACCATGCCCGGCTAATTTTTTCTATATATTTTTAGTTGTCCAATTAATTTCTTTCTAATTTTAGTAGAGACGGGGTCTCACTCTTGCTCAGGCTGGTCTCGAAATCCTAACCTCAAACAATCCGCACGCCTCGGCCTCCCAGAGTGCTAGGATTACAGGCGTGAGCCACCGCACCCGGCTAGCTGACCATTCTTGACCAAAGAAGAACCAGTATATATATATATAGACTTCCTGGCATGGCTGTGAGGCTTACAGTCACGTTCCCTCCTGTAGAGACTGTCCCATCCCAGAACACAGAGATAGATCCCACCGTGTGTGGCACCACCTGGCCCTGGCCCCGCCCCCAAACACCTGACCTGGGCCACACTCCCTGGATTAACTTGCTGGGAGTCCACCTGGTCCCTTCTCTGGAGAGGAGGGCCACCAACTTCAATTTCTGAGCCACACGAAGCAGACTGTTTTTTCTTGCCTTCAACGTGAAGCCTGGTCTCAGAAGTGCTGGGTGGAGGTGTGTCTTTTAAATGATCAAAGCTACACAGAGGCAGGCACTGCAGGTGATCACCAGGCTGATGTTCTTACTGTTTCTTGGTGGTTGAACTTGCCCTTGAATTCCGGGAGGGTAGATTACTATCCTTCTAAAAATTCCGCTCTTCTCCTTGTAGCCTACTCCCCCACCTTTTTTAAAAAAAATTCAGCTAGCTAGAGTTCATTTCTCTTATTTGCAATCAAAAGAAATTTATCTAATGTAGCCAACACAAACTCATTATACTTTCCACCCAAGGTCCAAGATAGTGTCTCAGCTTCACAGGAGAGGAACTCTGGGCGAGTGATACGAAGACCAAATGGACTCCAGGACTCGGGTGGAAGATTCAGATAAAAGGCGACAGGTGGCAGAGAACGAAAGGGAAGGAAGATCAGTAACCACAGGCCTTGGAGACTTGGCTGCGAGTTTCACTTCAGTTTCTGAGCTACATAAAGGTGACTGTCGTTTCCTGCCTGTGACATGAAACCTCGTTGCAGACAGGCTTGGTGGGGGCACGCTTTGGAGCAGATCAGAGCTGGACCAAAGCAGCCATTCCAGTTTGCTTTGCCTGCAAGGTAACTCAAAGTCGTGGAAGAGTCACATCTGTAACTCTGTGTGCAATAACACGAGGTTGCATTTCTTGTATTCTAGCAAGAATTCAGAAAAAGGGTAAGATCAGTCTCAAGTCTCAGGCATGGTGAGGTATCTGAAATAGAGCGTAGTGTAGAGCACGAATAGCCCCTCAAGGGAAACTTTTGTTTAGAATATTTCTTTTATGTGCCAAGGCCGGTGCCTACGGATCAGGTACCCCCGCTACACTGTAAGGTGTTTGAGGGCAAGAATGATACCTGATTTATCTCTGGATGCAGTCAGTGGCTAACAGTGCCATCTCACACTCAGCACTCCATACACATCTGTTGAATTCAATTAAAATAAGATCGCATCCACCCATGTTTCATTACCACCCTCGGGTTCAGGAAACAAGCTTTGCAACTGGCATGACAAGTTCCTCTGTCTCCTCCTGCCAATGGAAAGTGGATTTCTCAGGGGGAGTTTACAGGGATATTCAAGATCATTTTCCTTTCTTTTTTGCCACCTACTCTGCAAATGGACTTTAACCCTTGTTCTTTAACATGAAGGAGCTTTAATGTTCAATTTCCAGTCTTACGGGGAGAAATGCACCGAGCTAGGAGAAGTGGAGAGGTTAGTCAGGGCAGGAGAAGATTCTGTTCAAATATCCAGGTCAAGAATCATTCCAAATGTCTCACATGCTTCATCTTAGCCCGTCTTCACAGCAGATCAGTAAAGTATGAACTCTCACTATGAGATCAATTTTATAAGATGGTGAAACTGAAGCTCAGAAAGGCTACATAACTTGCCTGAGGACACACAGCCTGCAGATGGCAGAGGCTGGAGTTGAAACCGAGAATTCATGTGTTTACTCATTATAGCATGATTGTTCTCAGTCTTGGTGTAGTCACCATGGAAACTTCTAAGGCACGGGAAATGTGCGCTCTATTGCAGGCAGGAATTCACACATATGAACCAAAGTTTGAAGAAATGGATTCTTCAGGAGGTAGCTTGAGGAAGGGAGATGTGAGTTTTTGCTTCAACATTTCTC